TTACAAAGTGTAAGCTAATTGCCCCCAACAAGCTGGGAACTCATTTTAGTGACCTTCAGAAGGATGTAAGCCTGAGTCGAGTCTGAAAACTTGGCTGGTATTAAACTCACAACCTTATGGTTTGCAAGTGAGTGGCTGTAGAACAGGCATTTAATCACTGCACCACCAGGGCTCACATTTTAGGGTACAATATAAAAACTGGCAATGACTAAGGCTGCAATCCCATCTACGCTAATTTGGGAATAGGTCCCACTGAACTTGGATCTAGTCTACCATAGAAAAGCATTAAATTTAAAAAAATGGATTTTACTGTGTTATATACTGCAAGGGAGGATATTTTATGTTTTTAATATGCCCTTTCTTTTCAACTTCGCTGCAAAGTAAAACCAGCACAATCACAAAGACTACAGCAAGTCTTTTCTCTCCGATGTGCTAGTTCTTTATGATCAGGTAATGTTCTGTGTTTTTAATATGAGGGTAGGCATTTAAAACTTTCAGGGCCTGCTCTGCCCATACATAGGCTGAATCTTTCTTCCCAGTAAAAGAGACACAGAGCTGGGACCTTCAATCAGACTCCGTAAAAGTTTTCATTCAGTGAAATCATTTTAATGAATTGCCACAAATCAGCTGTCCATAGCTGCTATTCAAAGACCACTTGCAGACAAGATTTTAACCCAGGTTTCTTAGCAGGCAGCCAGATTCTCATTTTTTCAGACTAATTTTATAGAGGTTGAACCAGCAGGTGGCATCCTACATCAGTAAAGATCTGGATCTATAAAATATTTCACAAAATAATTTGGCTGTACAGCTGAAGGAAACATGCCAGGCTCAAATGTTTCATGATTAAAAGGGAGAACAGAAAGCTTTGGGGAGTCAGATGAAATATGTGGCTAACTAAGCAGCTATCTGAAGAATCTTCCACAGTTACTGCCTCCAAGCCAGTCTTGCCTCTATGATAAAAGGCTGTTGAAAAAAATTACCCTATATAGCCATTGGAGAAAAGGCTTGAGAAAGGAGCAAAGAAATGGTCATGCCTACCTTCACAGCATCATGAAATGCAGGATTGTGCAAAATGGGACCTGAGGTTATTGTTTCTGACCCAAAAGGAATTAATCAGGGATCCAATTCTGCTTACTATCATTAGGGTGTGTTTTCATCTACACCCTCAAATAATAGTTTAACAGTCTGTTCTATCACTTTTGTACTTGAAAACTTAGTAGAAGCCCTGATAACCATAAGTGATAACAATCCTTAATGTCAAGCCATGCCACTGTCAACTTCAGTTGTGCAGATGTAAAATGGATACTGTAAAATATACTTTTTACAGGCTAAGTTTTAGAAAGGGGGCTATGGAGGAACTAGATAGGATCCTCAAGTACAAAGATATTTAATTGAATACCAAAATAAGGATCATCGATGCCATTATATTTATGATCTATATGTATGGTTGTGAAAGCTGGAAAGCAAAGAAAGGTGACAAGAAGAAAACACATCTTAAATGCAGTGCTGGAAGAGAATTCTATGGATACCACTGACTGATAAAAAGACAAATGGGTTGTTTTGATTATATAATAAAATTTATTTAAAAAAAAAGAAAAAAGAAAAAAACGCAAATGGGTTGTAAAGCAAATCAACTCTCAACTTTCATTGGAAGCCAAAGTGACTAACCTAGGGATGTTGTATGTTGGACATATCGTGAGATGATGTGACTCGTTGGAAAAATATAATATTTGGTAAAGTGGAAGGCAGTAGGAAAAGTGGGAGACATAAAGTGGAAGGCAGCAGGAAAAGTGGGTGACTGCACTACAAGTAGAATTATTCAATCAAGGAAGCCACAGTCCCAAGTTTGCAAGGCCTGAGTAGGGCAGTTGATAACCAGGGCTCTTGGAGGTCTCTCATTCATAGGGTTGCTTTAGGCCAGTGTTGATTTGACAGTAAACACCAACAAAAGCAACATGTACAATAGTGACCTATTTCCAAAGCTAGCTTGAGTTAGAATATATACAAAATGTGATCCAGTGTGGCATAGTGGTTTGAGCACTGGACTATGACTCTAGAGAGCAGGGTTCAAATCCCCACTTGGGGATGAAAACCCACTCTGTGACCTTGGGAAGTCAGACTCTCAGCTTCAGGATATAGCAATGACAAACTCCCTCTGAAGAAACTTGGCAAGTAAACCTTGGCCTTGGGCGCCATAAGTCAGAACCAACTTGAAGGCTAACAACACACATATACAAGATGCAGGTTTGTCAAGTGGTTTGCTCATTTTTATTTGGTTTTGTTTGCATGCCACTGTTCCATTTCAGAGTCCAGGGGAGTTAACAACATTTACAAATGTACATGTAAAACCACAACCTGACAAATTAAAAATCTTTTTAAAAGGCACCTCAGCCCTTGCCAAATGCAGAGCACTGCATGCCACCAGATGTCTCTCTTGAACTTCTTTAAATTTGAAGTTGCTCTGGTTTAGAGAAATGTAACAGAACACTTTTTGTCCTTAAAAGAAAGAATTGTCTAAATTTGGAAGTAAATTACATCAACCCAACTGATGATTTGGAGATAAATTGCACCATTCCAATATAGTAACTTATCCAGATTATACTCTCCCATTATCAATGGGAGTAAATGTTGCATTGTGCCTCCAAACTGCTTAGAGTGGCTGATTCTTTGGGAATTCACAAAATGGACATTCAAATCTATATTATCAGAAATGCTAATTTTTGTTATTTTAATCCCTTTGCAGCACATCACATTCTGCAATTAATTGCAGTCAATGTTTTTCAAGCAATAGCTAATTCTAAGGAAAGATACACTTACATATGAAGATATATTTAAAAATATAGGGAGAAAACAGATGGCAGAAATGTTCCTGTTGGTTGCTTTATTTTGTTGCTGTAGATTCTTTTGTATATGTTTTAAACAACCAGATGCCATTGTCCTTTCATAGAACTATTAGAGGCAATTCCCAGCACAAACAAGAACATTTTATTTCAGGAGTTTTAGCCCTATCTAGAGGCTGTCTGCTTTTTTTTCCTTTTTTTTAAAAACCCAGGCTACATCACACAAAAAAAGAAAAAGTCATCTAGTTGTCTAGTTTCGATTAAAGGCATTCACTGGAAGAGAGGAGTGCAAGCCCTTTAGCCTAGAACAGTAAGATGTTTGGAATACTGTATCTTTAAAAAAGAAGGTATCCAGAGTCAATAGTGAGCAAAGACACACACACAAATCAATATTTGTCTACAGCACTATGAAATCTGAATCAAACTACCTAATCAGCTTCAGCCTCCCTACCTTGCCTGCTGGCTGGAGAAGTCTGCAGATTGAAAATGCTTTTCTAGACAGTCCAAACAAGTAATAAAATGAAATTTTCTGTTGTAAGAGATCTCCCTTTTTGGCAATAGGTTGGACAAGCCCCTATTTAAAGATCTCCTATATCATGGCTCAGTCATTAAGCAAAATGGAAATTATAGTCAAGAAATCGCAAAAAGACCAACACTGCACCTCACTGCAGAAATAACCCAGTTTGACACCACTTTAACTGTTGTGGCTCAATGCTATAGAATTCTGGGAATTGTTTTGTGAGACATTTAGCCTTCTCTTGTCAGAGAGCTCTGGTGCCACAACAAACTACAATTCTCAGAATTCCACAGCATTGAGCCATAGATATAGTGGTGTCAAACTGGATTATTTCTGCAGTGTGGATGCAGCCTAAGACTTGGAAAGGCAGCTATGAAGGAACTTGATGAGATCCTCAAGCCCCCATATGATTAAATTCCAAAGTCAGAATCATCCAGGTCACAGTAAAACTGGAAGAGAGATGGTATGACTTTTGCCATGTTGAATAGATGGGTTTCTGCTTTAGCAGCTGCCACAGTCTGTTCTGTTTTCTGAATAATGTTTTCCGCAGACTGACTGGAACATTAAACTGCTCCAGTCAATATAAAGAGTTATAATATATTACCATAGCCTCCAAGCAAACTTCGGGACTATTTCATTTTTCTATGGAGACAGAAATCTGAATCTATTTGCAAGATATCTTCTTCTGGTGTATAATTATGGCTGGATGATGCACAGAAATGATATTATTTTAAGCTGCAATGGGTTATCACCAGGAGAAAACCTGGGGCCATAGACTTACTATGAAAGCTTTGTACATTGTGCAGTTCCAGAACTCTGCGGGCAGTTGTCATTTCTTCCCTGTCATTTTGCCTCCCTCACCAGTCTGTGCTGTTTTTCTCAGTTTCTTGATATTTAGCTAATCAGATAGGCCATAGGGCAGAGGGAGGAAAGAGTCCCCCTCCCCATGGGAAAGAGTCAGTAGGCTTCACTCAGATGCTCCTGTGGCATATGAATTTAGTTTATTCAATGCTCCTCTAGCATTCAGGCATTTGCTGCCTTCCCTCCCTCTCATTGTCCAGTGGTCCTCAAAGTTTGATCTTCCAAATGTTATGGACCTCAGCTTCCAAAATTCCTGACTATTGGCCAGGGTGGCTGGGATGTCTTGGAGTCCAAAATTCCCAGAGGACTAAAGTTTGGGAATCATTGGTCAAGGCTATGACTGGCATCTTGTTGGTTATTCCCAACTAAAGTAAACCAATTGAATCAATTATGGAATGGTGAGTTATCATGTAGGTAAATCCCATTGCTTCAGCAAGTCTCATATAGTGAGGACTAACAACAAGGTTTATATCGTTTAGTCCATGAATGTTTTTTCTTATCTAATTCAGCCATTTTAATAATTTTGGCAGTGACACAGGAGGCATGATACAATTGGGTCTTAAGGAGATCTGGTGGCACTGTGGTTAAATACCAGTACTACATCCACAATGTTATGAGTTCGATCCCACAGGACTCCAGGTTGACTCAGCCCTCCATCATTTCATAGGTCTGTAAAATGAGTACCCAGCTTGTTGAAGGCAATTGGCCAACACATTGTAAATCACTTAGAGAGTGTGTAGTTCACTATGAAACAGTATAGCCAGAGTCAAGACCAGCTGGATCCCAGAGCTTTGGTGCAGATAGGTCACAGTCATTTAGTGATCATTGGATAACAGGTTGGTTGTACGATGACGGGATTTATGCCCTGTGCCAGTCCAATGCTGTTCATCTGTAATAAATGAACCTGTGGCCACTTTTTGTTCAAATCCTGTTATATGTGAGTGGTGTGAATTATGTCTTCCTCCTCTACCTGCACCTCCCCTCATCAATGGACCTGCAAAAAGCTTACAATTTACAAGTTGGAGGCTTCGTTTTATATTTTGTGAGGTAAGAAAACCCAAGCAACTGCTTTAGTAATTTAAATTACTCTTTTTCTTCATCAGTGGATGAAGTTGCACAAGTATTTTTTTTAAAAAAAATCTGTATTACAGCTATAGCAACATTAAGACAGAACAAATAGTGGCAAGAAAAAGAGTGACTTCACGATATGGCCTTGTTGCTGTGTGCCTTCAAGTGATTTTTGACTTATGGCAATCCTAAGGTGAACCTATTACGGGGTTTTCTTGGCAAGATTTTTCAGAAGAGTTTGCCTTTGCCTTCCTCTGAAGCTAAATGGGTGTGACTTGCCCAAGGACATCCAGTGGGTTTCCATGGCAGAGAGGGGATCGAACCCTGGTCTCCCAGTGTGCCAGTCAACAAAAAAGGAAGAACAAGAGAGCTCTTTCACAAGATCCAAGAAATTAAAGGGAAATTTAAACCAAGAGTGGGGAGACACATTACATGACCAAGTACAAATGAAAAGACAATGGAAACAATACACTGATATTGTATATAAAAGTGTATATATACACTGAAGTATATAAAAGAGAAGAGAGGATAACAGATTGATTGAAGACGAACAATTTGAAGATGAACCTATAGTTTTACAAAGTGAAGTGGAAGCTTCACTCAGACCATTAGGAGAAATAAATTGCCAATAACAGATGGCATGTCAATAGAGCTGTTTTATGCTACAGAGACAGAATGTACTCTAGTTCTAACTAAAATCTGTCAACAAATATGGAAAACAACACAATAGCCCATAGATTGAAAATGCTCAATATGCATTCTAATCCTCAAGAAAGGGGACACCAGGGATAGCTGTAACCACAGGACCATTGCATTAAAGCCTCATGCAAGCAAAACAATGATCAAAATCTAAAACAAAGACTTTTACCATATATGGAATGAGAAATGGAAGATGTCCAAGATGGATTCTGGAAAGGAAGAAGCACTAGGATTCATATTACAAACATTTGTTGGATAATGGTGCACACCAAATAATTCCAGAAGAAAATCAGTCTGTGATTTATTAATTATAGTGAAGCCTTTGATTTTTTTAGATCATGAAAAACTATGGAGCTTAAAGAAATGAGCATGCCACAACATTTGATTGTCCTGATGTGTGACCTGTACTTAGGAGATGAGGCTACCACCAGGCAGAATACGGAGAAACAGGATGGTTTCCAGTTGGTTGGGCTGCATTTTTATCATACTATCTGTTCAACTTATACTCTGAACATATCATATGTGAAGCAGGATGAGATTCAGAGGAAGGATGTGTGAAAACTGGAGGAAGGAACATTAACATTTTAAGATATTCAGATGACTCCATACCAGAACATAGCAAAGATCTGGAACAATTATTGAAGAAAGTGAAGGAAGAAAGTTGAAAAGCAGGTTTACAGTTGGACATTAAGAAAATAAAAATAATTATTACAGATGATTTACATAGCATTAAAGTAGACAATTAAGTCATTGAAGTTGTGAAAAAAATCCTATACCTTGGCTCAGTCATTCATCAAAAGAGGGACTGAAGTCAAGGAATCAAAAGAAGACTAGTACTTTGAAAGGCAGCCAGATCCTGAAGTGTAAAGATATCTAATTGAATCCAAAAGTTAGGATTGTCCATGCTATCGTATCTCCAATTTCCAAAAACGGTTGTGAAAGTTGGACAGTGAAGAAAGCTGAGGAAGAAAATCAACTCATTTAAAATGTGGTGCTTGAGGATGGGTCTTAGAGCAAATCAAGGCTGAACTCTCCCTGGAAGCCAAGATGACTAAACTGAGGCTGTCGTAGTGTGGAGATATCAGAAGAAGATCTGACTCA